ATAATTCAATAACGACATAATTCAATAACGACATAATTCAATAACGATATAATTCAATAACGATATAATTCAATAACGATATAATTCAATAACGATATAATTCCATAACGATATAATTCCATAACGATATAATTCAACAACGACATAATTCAACAACGATATAATTCAACAACGATATAATTCAATAACGATATAATTCAATAACGACATAATTCAATAACGATATAATTCAATAACGATAAAATTCAATAACGATAAAATTCAATAATGACATAATTCAATAACGACATAATTCAACAACGATATAATTCAATAACGACATAATTCAATAACATATAATTCAATAACGATATAATTCAATAACGATATAATTCAATAACATATAATTCAATAACGATATAATTCAATAACGATATAATTCAATAACGACATAATTCAATAACGATATAATTCAATAACGACATAATTCAATAACGATATAATTCAATAACGACATAATTCAATAACATATAATTCAATAACGATATAATTCAATAACGACATAATTCAATAACGACATAATTCAATAACGATATAATTCAATAATGATAATTCAATAACGATATAATTCAATAATGATAATTCAATAACGATATAATTCAATAACGATATAAACAATATAAAAGCCTCAGAAAAATTGTACAAACTGTACAAATGAATTAATGTTCACCTTTTATTTGTATATAGCCTTCAAAAATTTTTGAAATCACTGTCAAATAAACATAAAACTCAACTTTGTCAACTCAGGCTTGAACCCCAAAGTGAAAACAACAAACATCTGGGATTCTTCACATGGTATCATACTTTCCTAACAACTTTAACTTAGAGCTGGTCAATAATTCGATATCGATATATCTCGCGATATAATTTTATTCAATAACCATGATATGAGTTTTAAGCACATTTTCGATATTTCGATAGGATTACAGCGTTTTCTGTTCGGGTTGAAGCAGCCACTTCAGTTTCAACCTGGACAGAAAAAGGTGCGACACAGCTACGTCAGTGCGTGGTGACGTAATGTTACGCAGAGCTCAAGTCCAGAAGGCGTTAGTGGTAGCAGGCTAAGCTAGGCTAATCTCCAACGCGCGTTAAGTTTTCTCTTCAAAAAGAGTTCCATGATCGTCAGAATGTGACTGAACAACTTTCACAAGCGAAGAGAAGCACATGACATCACTGATAAGAGAGGAAA